CAAAGTAATAGAATAATTTGACTGAAGAATCAAAGAACCTGGAATGGAGAAAACAATTCATGAGAGTGGGAAAACCAGTATCCAACATAATTTCATCCTTTCCCATAGAAGTTCCATAATCTCTCTCTTAAAAACACCACTATAGTGAACTAACTGTAAACAACAGGAAAATACCTGTTTCCTAAGTCTTCTCTCCAACTAGCTAATAATTTTATGCCCATGTCGATCAAATCCTAACTTAGTTGTTAAATGCAAATGCTCAGTACATCTCAAGCACAAAATAACATTACCATCACAGCAAAATACTCTAAAACACATAACGGAACAGCCTCAGTTGAGTCCATCTCTCAAATCAAAAATAAAAATGCAAGGTATATCCAACAAAACTCTTTATCTAACTGTTATTAGTATCTCATTCAATATGGTTCAAGAAATAGGTCTTAGAAAAGATGTAGTATAAAATTTATCTAAAAAAAGTATGTACTATAAATGAAAACCCATAGTACCAAAACGATTTGTATGAAACAAAAAAGCATGAGAGAAGACAGTTCAAGAAGGATAGTGCTTCATTACATAATACTGAAACTCGCTTGTAACATGTAAAATATACAGATATCATCATAAGTGAAATCGAAGGCAACACATATCAACATATATTCGTAATACTAATGACAATTGCCTTAGACATTGAAAGCAGTATCAAAATTCCGCGTGTTAACCTTATTGCATATACCATGTTAATGATTTTATTAATGAACAGATATGATGTCAATAATTTCAGAACTCTCAATCATCAAGAAAGAATTTTTTGAAATTGATAGTAAGAAATCTTGCAATAGGCTAAGAATTTTTTGAAATTGATAGTAAGAAATCTTGCAATAGGCTCTTCAAAGATCAAGAACATAGAGGATAGATTTAGCAAATATGATTATAGAGTTCTCTTGAGATATCCAGTCAGAAACAGTAGTATCTAAATTTTCAAAAGCATGGAATACAACTTGATAAAAAGCATCGTTAGTTCCTTACCGTGCAGATTTCAATAAAACAATAATAATAAAAGTAGTTTAATTAGTACAACACAACAAACCTTGAAGAGACCAGATAGAATTTCATTACGTGGTACGACGCTGTGCTTCTTGCACGAATTAATGTACCTAAACCCAAGAAGATAGTATGTGAATCAGTTTAGTGCAAACAAGTACATATTTTCATAAAATATTTCAAGAGAGCAATAACTGCATTAAGAAGGCATTTAAACTATCACTGATAATTAAACTTCAGTATGCAACATCGCATCTATAACTGATAAGAAATATCCCATTTGCCAAACAGGGCCCCCAATGACCAGCATAAACACAGTGCCAAAACCCCTGAAAATCCCACTTCTTCATTCCAAATTGATCAACCCCGGTTGCCAGAAAACTTTTCACGAACCAGCGCTCTTCCACAAACAAACTTCAGTTCAACAACAAAAAATTGAAAATCTAAGCCAAAAGTTGAAGTTAAATCGAAACATCATCAATTATGATTTGAAGTACCTCTAAAATCGAACTCGAATAACATAATGCAAAACAAAACTAAGCAATTCTGAGAACCAAATACGATATACAACTTCACATTTCAACAATCGACTTGCAAGTATTTCAAAAGTACTTCAAATCATAAATAGTAAGAAATCAAACTGCAGAATCCCAAAACTAAAGGCAGAATCATGATCGTCTTCCAAAATTCAGCAGAATATGTACCGGAGTTGAAAATAAAAATAAGAGAAACTCACTTTTCTTTCAGGTCTAAAATACCAGCGGTCATAACTACTGTCAATCCAGCAATCACCGACGGTTCCTTATCAATTATCAGATGAACTGTGGGTTATTCACAAAACCGTTTGCTATTCGGCTCTTTGCATGTGTTCTACATACATACATATATATATATATAGAGAGAGAGAGACTGAGAGAGAGGGGAGTTGGTGTATCTGTTTGTAGGAACCTGGACAACAAAAATGGGGGAAGAAGGAAGAAGCCAATAATGTGACCAACTAGCAGTACTGATGGACAATCATGTCCTGAGTTCTACTCGAAGTTTTCCTTAAAAGCATTTATATTTTTTATTTTAATTTTTAAATCTTATTTCCATTTTAAATAATTTTAATATAAATATTTAAAAATAAGAATTTTAAAATATTTTTTTATATTGATAACTTTGTATAATTACAAGATAATGCAATGTGACAAGTGATGATAAACTAAGAAAGGCTTAAACTCTCTATCGAGAATTTCGAACATTCAATCTTATTATAATAATATAATAAATAAAAAATTATTATAGTTTAATCGTAATAGATAAAATATTGAAGGATTTTTTTAGTATAATAATATTTTTATATAATTAATAATAAATATATTTACTACTTTCAATACTTTAATAAATTAAATTTTAAATTTTAATTAATTAATGATTATTAATTAATTATTATCAGTTAATAGTAAATTTTATATTCACAATAAAATTTGAATTCGTAATTTTGAAACTGAATATAATAATCTTAACCACTAAATTGTGTATTGCTGATAATTGTCTTATCATGTCTTAAATTTTAAACAATATATTTATCATTATTTTATTTTTACTATATAGTTGATTTTTTAAATTATTAACATATAAGAAAGTACATGATGACTAATAATATAGAGTTTAATATCCGATTGAAAAACTAATTGAAATTCTTAATTTTTAATTCATAATTATGTATATATTCAATTAATAATCACATATATACCAATTCTTATAAGATTAATAATTATATACATTGAACTAATAATTATGAAATTTCTAAACTTTAAATTTTATTAATTTATGTTTGTTTAACTCAACTCGGTTATTAATTGAACTTATCGGAATTGCTGCATACGATTTGCTTGGTTCAATCAAAATGATGTTACAATCGATTTGAAAAAAAAATTACCAAAACAAACCTAATGTTTTCCCCTAAGTGAATGTATAAATAATTCATATTACATGACCTCGCAGTTTTTATCATACGGTACCGAAATGGACCGGACCGGCCCATTCCGGCCCATTATGCTTGGACAAAATTCCGAATCCACGTTGCCCGGCCCAATGTATAAATAATACACATGACTTTTCTTACGAGCCGAAATAAACCTATTGTTTTCCCCTAAGTGAATGTAGAAATAATACACATTACACGACTTCACAATTTTATCATATGGTACTAAAATGGACCGGTCTGGTCAATTCTGACTCATTATGCTTGGACAAAATTCTTAATCCACGCTGTCCGGCCCATTCCGGCCCATTATGCTTGGACAAAATTCCGAATCCACGTTGTCCGGCCCAACATTATTTGGTGAACAAGAAAAAAGCCCGCATGACTTTTCTTACGGTATAAATAATACACATGACTTTTCTTACGGTATAAATAATACGCACGACTTTTCTTACTAAACCTAATGTTTTCCCCTAAGTGAATGTAGAAATAATACACATTACACGACTTCACAATTTTATCATATGGTACTAAAATGGACCGGTCTGGTCCATTCTGACCCATTATGCTTGGACAAAATTCTGAGTCCACGCTGTCCGGCCCATTCTGGCCCATTGTGCTTGGGCAAAATTCCTAGCCCACGCTGTCCGGTCCAGCATTATTTGGCGAACAAGAAAAGACCCACATCCACTAGGAAGCTTCTGGTCTGCGCGGCGCGCGCACATGTAGGATCACGGAAAGTGCATGGCAGCACCACGTTCGACAAATGTTTGACTTCTGCCCCATATCCAAAGCTATATATATAGATATATTTGGCTTCTCTGCAACATTTACGAAGTGCCCACTTAACCTTATCCTTCACTTTAACACTGATGAAGCTGTCAGAGATTTTTCCCTTTCGAAATGTTTGGCTTCTGCCAGATCTAAAGCTATATATATATATATATATATAATTATCTCCATATTTGACTTCTCTGATACATTTGTGAAATACCCACTTAACCTTACCTTAACCTTACCTTATCTACATTTTCGCACTAATAAAGCTCTCAGGAAATTTTCCCTCACCGATATACTGAAGATTATGAAGCTCGTTTTGGCAACCCTGCTGCTCTGCTTTCTTGGAAACTGCAGTCGCCAAGCCAGGTACTATATATATACTGCACGTTTACGTATATATGTGCATATATTGTGTATTGAAAAATTATGGGATGAATAATTTAGTGTTTGAACTGAAACTTTTAATTGCTGACTTAAAAATTTGCAGAGACATGTAAAGAGAAGTGCGGGGATAGATGCAAACTATTGAAAAAGAAAACGGCGTGCATAAAGTTCTGTATGAGGTGCTGCGGCGCCTGCAAGTGTGTTGGTTGTGCTTGCTGCCTCAACAAGAAAACAATATCCGGCGGCCCATTGTGCCCTTAGACCAACTCATATATATATATATGTGTTATATAATGTATTTTATAATTTTTTTAAAAATTAATTTTTACAATGTTTTTTATAATAAAAATATTAAATTAAATTTTTAACCACTATGGTTACTCAAATTAAATAAATTTATTTATCGTTTAAATTCTTTTAATTAAAAAAATTCGTTGTAACTTACCATAATTTTATTATACTCTAATGAATTAAATCGATAATCAATTAACTCAAATATTATAAATTTATCATCACTAATTCATAATATATTTTATAAATCTTTATTAATAATTTATTGTAAGATATATCGAGATCATGTGTGATTGTATTGTCATTATGTATGTATATGCATATATATATATATATATTTAACTAAAATATTTAAAAAAAAAAAATTAGTTCAAAAAATCTAACACTTACTGTATTTAATAATTACTATAATTTAATCATTAATATTTTTTTATTGCAATTTAGTTTTATTTATTTAAATCACTAATTTTTTGTTTTTAATTTTTTTTAATGTAAAAAACTCGAAAGATTAAATTATATTTTAATATTTTTAAAATATCACTCAAAAATAACTTTAACTAATTACTTAAATTATAGAATAATATCAATTTAAATTGACAGAATATTTTATTATTAATTTAACTAATTAATTATTTTTTTTGAATGTTTTTCTAAAATATTTAGACATTAAATAACTATTTAATTAATTTTCATTAATAAAATTTAAATGAGCATTTAAAATAAATAAATAAATTAAAAATCAATTTATAATAAAAATATATTACAAATTAAGCTGTAATGAATGTCAAACTTTAAAAATTAATTTAATAACTTATTTTATTTTTTTTAAATTATTAATTACTAATTATATCATCATTATAACTAAGAAGGAAACAAAGTAAAAGAAATTCAAAGTATAGTTTGTGTTGTAATATTTATTTTATTAATTTAATATTTATTTTTAAAAATATAATAGTTATTTAGTGATAATATTTTACGTTTCTTGTAAAATATTTAATAACAAAAATATGAATTTTAAAATATTCAAATCTTAATCGGGTTTTCGGAATGAAATTGTACCACATGTGGGCTTTTGACTTAATTAAAAAGCCCATGAGTTCAGGTTCATAACTGGCTTATTTTAGCCCAGGAAGCGAGTAGGAACAGAAAGGCGCGTGAAAATATCTCCGTTCTCCATCTCCATCACCTGCAAAAACCACGGGAAACCTAAAATCACAAAATCGTCACCGCTCCGAACCCGGGAGCTTCACTATCGTCCCCTTCTAACTTTGGTCGCCAATCGACCCCGAACACTGCAATCTCTAATCCATTGCAGCATCTTGCGCACCTCTCTTTCACTCATCGTTACCTGGCGGGGAAAGTCACTATTAATCATAACTAGCAGTGGGGAACATAACAAGATTCTGCTTCTTCGACGAGTTTCCAGTGGGTCTCCTAGTTATCTGTCATCTTCTAGCTTCCTGTACCGATAACCGGTGCCCAGGGAGGTCAATTGCGTCTTCGATTTTGCATGTTATAGTCACCAGAAGCAACTATCCTTCTCGTCTGGAAAACCAGTAGGACTTGAATCGTTCTAGTGAGTAGAACTCTCTTCTCGTTCTCCTTGCAAAAGGATCTTACAGGAAGATTATGCTATTTTGTTTTTCTGGACAGTTTACACCTGTTCAATAAGTTGGATTCAATTATTTACTTATTGCTTGTTGGTTCTTTATTCCATTAGATGAGGTTTTAGCTACGTGTTTCCTTTTTGTCACTTATGCTTATGTATTATTTCCATTTCCCTCTCTAAGCTGAGATTTTTGGACAGGCAGTTGGACATTTTTTATTTTTAATAAGCTAGTCTGAAATTGCATCTACATAAATCTAGCATGCGTGAAGTGTGTCTATAGTCTCGAGAAGTTTTCTCTGGGTTTGAGAGCTATAATTCGATAACTAAACACGTTGTATATGGGTTCGAGGGGGTAGGCCACAGGGATTGTTTAGATATGATTGACATGGATGACCAGTTCCAGTAATAGAACCTACACTTTAGCCTGTTGTTTAGCATGGTAATTTTCGTTGTTGAATCAAGAACTTATGGGGGTAATATCTTTCGATAGGTTTTTTGGAGATAGAGATTGTCTGCGACAAATAGTCCAAATATCCAAGTTCCAAACTTAGCTCTTAAGAACCACTTATGGATCTTCTCCGAGCATATACAGATGAAAAGGAGGAATTAGATGCAACTGAAGAGCAGCATCACCCAAGCCCTGATTCTTCACCGAACTCATCACCACCTCGTTTCCTCCCTGTCAGCAAATCATCTGCACCAAAGGTTGATGACACCATGCTTGCACTGACAGTGGCTCAAGGCCACCAAGCACAATCCAAACCCATTGACCCTGCCCAGCATGCCATTGCTTTTAACCCCACCTACGACCAACTTTGGGCTCCAATTTATGGCCCTGCCCACCCCTATGCAAAGGATGGTATCTCACAAGGCATGCGCAACCACAAGCTTGGCTTTGTTGAAGATGCCTCCATTGACTCCTTTGTCTTTGATGAACAGTATAACACTTTCCATAAATATGGTTATGCTGCTGATCCCTCGGGCAACAATTATGTGGGTGACTTGGACACTTTGCAGAAAAATGATGGAATTTCTGTCTACAACATCCCCCAACAAGAGCAGAAGAGGCGAAAGGTTGAGAAAAAGAAGGAAGCAGAGGAAGACGATGCTGTGGATCTGGAGCAGGTTGATAATCCTGCTACTGATGTATGGTTGATGAAGAATAAGAAGAGCCCGTGGTCAGGGAAAAAGGATGAGAAGCAAACAGAGTTGACAGAGGAGCAGAAGAAGTATGCGGAGGAGCATGCTAAGAAGAAAGAAGAGAAAGGTCATGGAGGTGGGGATAAAGGGGAGCATGTGGTGGATAAGACTACTTTTCATGGTAAAGAGGAAAGAGATTATCAGGGTAGGTCTTGGATCGCACCTCCTAAGGACGCCAAAGCAACAAATGATCATTGTTATATACCCAAAAGGTTGGTGCACACTTGGAGTGGGCATACAAAAGGTGTTTCCGCGATTCGTTTTTTCCCCAAACATGGTCACTTAATTCTCTCTGCTGGAATGGATACAAAGGTGAAGATTTGGGATGTGTTTAATTCAGGCAAATGCATGAGGACTTATATGGGTCATTCGAAGGCAGTGAGAGATATTTGCTTCTCTAATGATGGGACCAAGTTTTTGACTGCAGGATATGATAAAAATATAAAATACTGGGATACTGAAACTGGGCAGGTTATATCAACCTTCTCCACTGGAAAGATTCCGTATGTAGTTAAGCTTAATCCAGATGACGATAAGCAAAACATTTTGTTGGCAGGCATGAGTGATAAGAAGATTGTGCAATGGGATATGAATACTGGACAGATTACTCAGGAGTATGATCAGCACCTGGGTGCAGTTAATACAATTACATTTGTTGATAATAATAGAAGATTTGTTACCTCGAGTGATGATAAATCTCTTCGTGTATGGGAGTTTGGGATCCCTGTAGTTATAAAGTACATTAGTGAACCTCACATGCATTCCATGCCTTCCATATCACTTCACCCCAACACAAATTGGCTTGCTGCTCAGAGTTTGGATAATCAAATTCTTATTTACAGTACCAGGGAAAGGTTTCAGCTAAATAAGAAAAAGAGGTTTGCTGGGCACATTGTTGCTGGTTATGCTTGCCAAGTCAATTTTTCACCAGACGGAAGGTTTGTTATGTCAGGGGATGGTGAAGGTAAGTGTTGGTTTGGGACTGGAAGAGTTGCAAAGTTTCAGAACCCTCAAGTGTCACGAGGGAGTGTGCATTGGCTGTGAGTGGCATCCTTTGGAACAAAGCAAAGTAGCGACATGCGGCTGGGATGGCTTGATTAAGTACTGGTAAGTTATTTCTTATGTGACAATATATTTTTAGGATGAAATTTTCCTAATGCATTAAATTTTACATGTTTCTTTTGTTATGTTAACTCATGTCTTAATGGGATATTTGTGATAGGGGAGCAGATGTTAGAAAAATATTTGCTACTTCTGATGGAGGCATTTTCATTTGATGATGACTTATGCACCAAGATCTCTTAGGCCTTTAAAAAATAAAACCCATTTACTATATATGCTGAGTTCAAATTCACTGTTTTAAGAGTACTTTTCTGATTTTTTCAAAAATTTTCTTAGCCTTTTTTATTAATCTGTCCATCATCGCTGCTAATTTTTTGATAGATATTGGATTTTATGAGATTTGTGTTAATGTTGACGGGGGAGTCTCATAGCGATCCTTTCCTTGACATCGCCAAATAATTTTATGTTTGTAAAGCCCAGGAGGAGAAGTCAGAGGCAGAAACCTAGTGGAAGTCTTAGGACACAAACTCGAACTCTTAGGTCCTCCACCACTTGAATGAAGGCTCAAACCCTTCTTGGTATAGTTCCTTAAGGGTTTATATCCAATGCTATTTTGGAAGGTCAATACTCTGTTTGAAGGGGTGAGTGATGTCGTCTTCTTTTTTTCTAGAAAATAGAGATCTTGAATGTCCTGGGATGGTGAAGTCGCACCTAATATATAAAGACTGCCATTCTGCGCATCACTGTGTGATAATTCCATTGTCCATTGTCACGGCATTATACCTTTCTCTAAATTTATTGAGGATTAGTGTAGGAACATGTATATGTCCTTGAAGTATGAATCGCTGTATCTGATCTTTATGCTTTATGGTTTTGGGGACCCAGAATTTCCATGTAGAAGTCGTAGGGAACAAGTTTCCATCCATAAGATTACATATTGCCTTAATTACACCCATCTAATCAATAGTGATCTAAACTATCATTGCCTGCAAATATGGTGGTGTTAGTTTCGTTTCTTCTGTATAGGAAATTACAGAATATGGCTGATGAATCTGATTGTGGCTAGTAGGAGTTTAACATTTCTTTGTCTGGTTTGCAGGGACTAGTTTTGTGTTATTCCGTACAAAAGGGTCTGTGGATCCCAAAACTCATTGGTCAGAATCCGTACCTAAAGCAAATCAATACTTATGACATCCGCAGCCGATTCGACAATGCTGAACCAATCTTTGCATGGTGATACTGGAATATTTAAAACTTGTATTGTATCTTTTTGTTGTCTTTTTATGGATTAGGTCTTTCTTACTACACATGAATGAGGCCTTGAGTAGCTTGGTTCTCTCTATGTATCTCTCACATGTACCTGTTAATCACGGGTACCCTCCATCGCCTTTTATTTGAATGGTCGTGGAAAACATGGAATGATGGTCTGCCAATTTGGATTGTGTCCATATGGAGCAGATAGGTTATTCTACGTCTATTGAAGGAGAATCTAGTATCATCTCCAACTTTGAACATTGGCACGAAATATATCTGCAACTTGGACGATCCCGAGAGACTTGTAGATCTTTGTTTCCAGGCGATTTCACGAAAGATCAATCTCATCTCATTCAAATTTTCATTGTGAATTCTAATTTAGACCTTCTAATGGAGATAAGATGATAGAAATTATGATTTCTTAGTTCTAATTCTGCTCAGACAAGTTGCAATGCCTTTTTTTTTTGCAACTGTGATTCTAAGTACAAATTTTGCTGATGCTTATAAAATTGTTGAAATTTGAAAGATAATTAATTATAATATTTAAGGAAAAATTTAGACTAGTCTTTGTAAAGAAATATTTCTAATTTTGTTAATAATAATAATAATAATTAAAAATAAAAAGATAAAATGTCAAAATTTTGCCTGAAGTAATTTTATTTTTAAATTAATCTTATTATTATTATTATTTATTTTTATTGCATTATTATTATTATCGTTATTTTATTGTTATTAAAAAATTAAAAATAATGAAAATGAAAAAATAAAAAAAAAACCATTTTTTTCACTATCACCAATTCCCAAGATTCAATGCTTTAAAGCTAATTTCCATTTAATCCAATAAATTTCAAAAATTAAACCCAAAAACCCATTTTACTTCAAAACTAAAATCCAAATAAAAAGTTCAGCACATTGACCCATTCCCTCAACCGAAACGCCACCGTTTGAAGCTTCAATTTTCTTCTTATTCTGATGCTAGACGAGAAAGAGGGGAGCGAGCATTCCCTTTTTCTTATTCTGATGCTAGACGACAAAGAGGGAAGCGGCGGCGGGCCCACGCTCCCCCTTCCCTATTTATTCTTTGCGCAACGGTCAAAAAACCAATTTTCGATCTCTTTCTTCATCAAATAGGAGACAGAGTGACGGGTTTGGGTTCAGAAAAGCAGAACGTCACAGAGAGAGAGAGAGAGAGAGAGAGAGAGAGAGTGAAGTCGAGCATGCGTGAAGGGGGCTCGCGAAGACGACAAAGAAGCAAGCGACGTGCGACAAATAGAGGCACGAAGGCATGGCTGTACAAGAGGCTTTAGTTTTGGGAAAGGGGAAAAGATGGAGGCGATTGGAAAGAGTTAAAGAGGCTACGAATAAAGGCGGTTAGAGGAAGAAGAGAGGCTTTTCAGAGGGGCCAAGAGAGCGAGAAAGAAAGAAAGAAAGAAAGAAGAGAGGGTTTTCGGAGGGGCCAAGAGAGCGAGAAAGAAAGAAAGAAAGAAAGAAAGAAGAGAGGGTTTTCAGAGGGGCCAAGAGAGCGAGAAAGAAAGAAATAAAGAAAGAAAGAAAGAAAGAAAGAAAGAAGAGAGGGTTTTCGGAGGGGCCAAGAGAGCGAGAAAGAACGAAAGAAAGAAAGAAAGAAAGAAAGAAGAGAGGGTTTTCTGAGGGGCCAAGAGAGCGAGAAAGAAAGAAAGAAAGAAAGAAGTGAGGGTTTTCAGAGGGGCCAAGAGAACGAGAAAGAAAGAAAGAAAGAAGAGAGGGTTTTCGGAGGGGCCGAGAGAGCGAGAAAGAAAGAAAGAAAGAAAGGAGCGAGAGGCCGAGAGAGAAAAAGGAGAGTGTTCGTTAGAAAGAAGATCTTTAGAGAAAAAGGAGAGTGTCCGTTGGAAAGAAGATCTTTCTTTCAATCTTTTCAGTACTTGGTGTTTTTCTGGACTGTCCCTTCAGTTTATTTTTCTCTTTTTTCTCATTCTCTCTTCTTTATTTTTTCTCGCTAAAAGAACAAAAAATTAAGGGGAGTGTTGCCGGAGAGGGAAATGAGGGATGTTGTCGTGGCTGACAAGGATAGCGCTTGCTACTGGAAACCGGTCAGACGATATCCCCGTATGAGCAAGGATGAAAAAAAGAAGAGAGAGAGGGTTTTCAGAGGGGCCAAGAGAGCGAGAAAGAAAGAAAGAAAGAAAGAAAGAAGAGAGTGTTTTCGGAGGGGCCAAGAGAGCGAGAAAGAACGAAAGAAAGAAAGAAGTGATGACGTCTCTTCCATGTGGCCCAAGATGATTCATGCTCACATCAACTAAATTACCTTGTTTCTTTATCTTGTTGATCTATTCAAGTCATATTTTCACAATATATGTTATTATGCAATCTTCTAATTTTAATTGCATATAAAGACTCTTATAAGGAATTTATCATTTTATGATAAAGTTTTTGTAAGAATCCTTTCAAAAAGTTCAATAAGAAATTATGATTAAATGTCTTTTTCTTATTCTGAATTATTTTATATTAAGAATACAATTTTAAATTACAAATAAAATCTAAAAAATAATTTCTGAAAAACTCATAAATTCACGTAAACAAAAACAAAAATCATATTTAAATGAAGTTATATTTTGTGTCTGTATATTATTTACGCCTAAAATTGCAATTCTTTGATCTGTTGTTACAGTAGGTGGAGGAATCTATCGTTAGGCAAAAGGGGTTTTTCTGTATCCACACTCACCTCTGTATGCATACTCTACCTTCAGCTCTGATATTCCTCTACAGGAATTTTTGGTGGCAAGGCAGACGCATTTCAAATTCTGTTTTGTCTCTTTGTTTTCGGTTGAAGATCCCGAAATTTGATCATTTTATAATTAAGCCAACAATGGGCCGAAGGTTAATGGGCCGACGAAGATTTTCCTACAAGGACGGAAGCTCTTAAAGATTCCACCCCCGCTGCAAGCGAAGGTTTAAGAACTAGGGTTTTTTTTTTAGTGCCTCTGCGCTCTTTTCTCTATATATATACATAGGAGGCGGTGCGTTAGGTAGGGTGCAGGGTGCTCAACCAGCCGCGTGCAAATGTAATGGTGTTGTTCTAGGGTTTCTAATCGAAGATGAAGAAACCGGCGCTACGGTGATCTGTTTTCTCTCTTGATTAAATGGTTTCTGGTTTCGTTGTTCATAATTTGGGTCTGTATATTTACGCCTAAAATTGCAATTCTTTGATCTGTTGTTACAGTAGATGAAGGAATCTATCGTTAGGCAATAGGAACGGGTTTTCCTGTATGCATACTCACCTCTGTATGTATACTCTACCTTCAGCTCTGATATTCCTCTATAGGAATTTTCGGTGACAAGGTAGACACATTTCAAATTCTGTTTTATCTCTTTGTTTTTTATTGAAGATTGCTAAATTTGATTTAAAAGGAGGCATGATGCAGTGTGATGATAAGAATCAGACGGATTCCCATTGATTATTCTTTAAGAAGAAGATGAGATCACAACTAGCTACTTCTGACTGGTCATGCTTTCTCTCTTTCTTTTCTTTTTTTTTTAAATAAAAAAAACAGTTTTGAAAATCAATCTTTGAAGAAGAGTTTGATGTTTCTAATTTTATTTAAATGTTATTGGAGCCGATGATGTGAGAAAAATATTTGCTACTCTTGATGGAGACAACTCCATTTGATGATTTCTTAACCACCAAGATCTCTGAGGCCTTCGAAAAAAATCCAAAGCACATTTTTACTATGGTTGCAGAGTTCTTTTTTTTTTTTTTAGATTGATTTTTTCAGAAAGTAATATTGACGGGGATCTCATAGAGATCCTTTCCTTTCAATGGGGCAAACCATTTAAATGTTTGTAAAGCCCAAAGGGAAACGTCACAGACGGAAGCCTGTTGATGTTGACGGTCCTCCCTCTTCCGGGAGCTCCTCCATTAATGGGTGGTCTCATATTCCATCGCCTTGTGGAGCAGGATGCTGCTTTTACCTCTTGGGACTGGCCATGAGACACACATTTGATTCATTTACATTCCAAAAAGTTTTTAATCTCCATTTCGGTTTCTGGGTTTTTGAATTTGTGGTAAGCTTGTTTGTGGCTTGTGATGAAATCAATCTCAAGAATACCATCTTTCGGGACTGAATGGCTTGTTTGAAGCCTTGCTGTCATTCTGCAATTCTGAGGCCAAAATCTCAAATTTACTTTCTGAATTTTTATATTGTTATATGTCAGTGTCTGTAATACTTTGGGATCGAAATATAAAGTTCTTGAACAAGTTTCAAACTTATTCCCTTCTTCAGTGAAGGTACACAAAAATTCATAGTCTGTGATGTTCTCGTATGCATATAAATATATAAGTTTATCAAATAGCTCTTATCTTCTAGCCTCCTGTATTAACTATCTTTTGGGACTGAATAGCTTGTTTGAAGCTTTGTTGTCATTTTGCAATTCTGAGGCCAAAATCTCAAATTTACTTTCTGAATTTTTATGTTGTTATATGTCATATCTGTAATACTCTGGGTTCGAAATATGAAGTTTTTGAACAAGTTTCAAAATTATTCCCTTCTTCAGTGAAGGTACTCATTTTAAGTTTATCAAATAGCTCTTATCTCCTGTATTACAATCTTTTGGGACTGAATGGCTTGTTCAAGCCTTGCTGTCATTCTGCAATACTGAGGCCAAAATCTCAAATTTACTTTCTGAATTTTTATGTTGTTATATGTCAAGTGTCTGTAATACTCTGGGTTCGAACATCATAGTCTTTGATGTTCTTGTATGCATATAAATATATAAGTTTATCAAATAGATCTTATCTTCTAGCCTTCCTGTATTACAATCTTTTGGGACTGAATGGCTTGTTTGAAGCCTTGCTGTCATTCTGCAATTCTCAGGCCAAAAGCTCGATTTTACTTTCTGAATTTTTATATTGTTACGTGTCGTGTCTGTAATACTCTCGGTTCGAAATATGAAGTTTTTGAACAAGTTTCAAAATTATTCCCTTCTTCGGTGAAGGTACTCAAAATTCATAGTCTGTGATGGTCTTGTATGCATATAAATATATAAGTTTATCAAATAGCTCTTATCTTCTAGCCTCCTGTATTACAATCTTTTGGGACTGAATAGCTTGTTTGAAGCTTTGTTGTCATTCTGCAATTCTGAGGCCAATAGCTCAAATTTATTTTCTGAATTTTTATGTTGTTACATGTCGTGTCTGTAATACTCTGGTATCGAAATATGAAGTTTTTGAACGAGTTTCAAAATTGTTCCCTTCTTCGGTGAAGGTACACAAAATTCAATTAGCTCTTATCTTCTAGCCTACTGTACTGACAACCAGTGCTGAGTGGACGAATTGTGATTTTTCATGTTACATTCACAATTGTCACCAGAACCAACCGTCTTTCTCAACTGAAACCCCAGTAGGACTTGAATCATTCTAGTCATTCTCCTTTTAAAGGATTACTTGAGGATTTGATGCCATTTTGTTCACACTTCTCAACACGTTGGATACAATCATTTACTTGCGGTTCGTCGTTGTATCGGTTCCGTTATATGAAAGCTTAAATGAACTGGGTTCAAAATATAAACCTGGCTTGACTTGTGGGTGTCTGTGAGTGTTATGTTTGTGTCTGAGAGCTACATGTTGATAATTAAACATGATGCATGCGAGCACTCCTCCATTATATGAAATCTCTAGTCGACTGGGTTGAATATGTAAATTAATCATGATCTATATGCAGATGTTCTGTTTCGGTCTGGGAGCTATAAGTCGATAATTATGTGTGTTTGGGAGTGACTTGTTTAGGACATGAATGACCACTGCCGGTGGTAGTCCTGATGGGTTTTGTTTTAGATAGTGTTTGTCTGGGGGTGTTTAGTCCAAATCTAAGCTGCGTACTTAGCTTTGACTAACCAGACGAAGATCTTCTACAAACTGTATACATGAAAAAGGAGGAATTGGATTTTGTTCAGTTGATATGTACTCTTAAATGGTTATATATTTTGCACTGACATTCCTGTCCAGTTTAATCTCGTTTTATATATGAATTTGGGAAGTTCAAAATTCAAACTCCTCCATGGTTAGAGTTTCAAACTTGTTTTTATTATAATTTTAACCCAAAATGTATATAATATTTGTACAGGTCGATCTTCCCTGGTTGAGTTGCCATATTGAATGAACAGTGAAGTAAGGTGACACACATTTTAAGAAACCAATTTCCCAGGTTGGTCTTTCACAAGACTGTCAGAATTCTCTTTAAAAAACTATTTTATTTATTTTCAAAAATATAATATATTATACTTTTATAATTTATATATATATATATATAATATAAAATTAATATGAAAAATAATCCATGAATTTTTTTTTTTATTTTTTGAAATAAAAATAAAGACAACACGTTAATATTAATTACAATTATTTTTTACATTTTATTAAGATAAATCTTAGATATAATGTAATAATTATCTATTTAAATATAAATATAATTTTTAAATTTTAAATTTTTAATTAACTGCTGATAATGCATTATATGTTTTTAAATAGAAAAATAATTATCTATCTGAATTTTTAAAATATACATAAAATTTAATTTTTAATTATTTTCCAAAATTATATTATGTATAATACTAGACAAATATCTAAATTATGAAGTATAAAATTTAACAAATAAAACTGTTGGCAGCTTCAATCTTATCTATTGGCTTCTATTTATAAACCCACCCACCATTACTGATGGAATATATATATATATATATATATATATATATATATGAGCAAAGGAGCAGAGCACATAGACCTAGGGATACTGGGACCTGGTTTAGTGGCGCGTACATGATATATATATATATATATATATATATATATACGTATACGTATATATACTCATATAGAGACAAGTTAAAAGGTAGAGGCCAAGGCAAAGGAAGGAACGTGTGAGCTTTCCTTCATCTGCAGAATCCGCTTGTGCATGCACAGCCTTTAAACCCACCATTGATTGTCTCCTCCTCACCCTCCTTGATTTTTGTCTTCTCCAATTCTGCCAAAATACCTCCAGCCTGTTTCCTCTTCACCATTTTAATTTCTTTCTCTTAACTCCATCCTCAGTATAAACATGACTCACCATCCATTTACTGCTAGATTTTTGTCATTTTTTTATTCATACGAAGTTACGAATTCTGAGTCTGATTGTGGGTTTGAATCATTTTGTGCATTACTGAAATTTATATGTCTGTAATAAATAAAAAAGGGATATAAAAATTCATACCCAAATGAAGAACTCTAGAGTCTTCTTCACCGTTCTCCGTCTTCTCTCATTAAACTTACAACTACTCTCTTCGCTATATAAATACCCACTTCAGCTCACTCGATCTTTCTTCACTTCTGTGCAACACACCCACTACCTCTCTCTCAAATTTTTCTCGCCATAATATTATTTAGTGAGAAAAAGAAGAATAAAAACTCTACAACTTGAAGTGCACCATGAAGCTCATTCTTGGGACCCTCCTGCTCTGCTCTCTTCTCCTTGGTTCCTCTTTCTTTGAACCTGTAATGGGTCAGCCAGGTAAACCTTATATACGATCATAAATTCCTACGTTTATATGTAGTGATTATAACTGGTGTTATGTTATTCTGATATTGTGATTCACGTGTAGGGTATTGTAACGGTAAATGCAATGCAAGATGCTCAAAAGCAGGAGTAATGGACAGGTGCCTCAAGTACTGTGGGATATGCTGTGTGGCCTGCAACTGTGTGCCTTCAGGGACTTACGGAAACAAGCATGAGTGCCCTTGTTATAGGGACAAAAAGAACAAGAAGGGCAGACCCAAGTGCCCTTGATCTTTTCTTTTTCCACTTACCCTCCCTTTTCAAGCTTTTCTATATCAGTGATCTTCTGTAATATGCTTCTTCTATATGTATGTGTATGTGTATGGGTTTAAGGTTATAAGTATACTAGCGTTTGCTTAATAAAGGATGGTGTCTTGAGAAGTGAGAGTTGAATCTTGATTTTCTTGGTAATAAAGGATTCCTTATATTTACATTCGAAAGAGATTATAAGTATTTGATATTTATTCAAATCGGTATAATTCGAAACTTAACTCTGTCGTATATTTATGAATTTACAATAATTAAGTTGAATTAAACTTCGATGAATCTATTATATATTTGAATAAAATAAACATCTCGTATCAATTAAATTTTTTAATCGAAATGGACGTAAACGAGTTAAAAATCCCAATTAATATATTATTTTTTTGGATTAAGAAATTATGTATACTAACTCAGTTATGATAGTGTTGTAAAGTTAAATAAAGTTAGATATTGTCTACAGCATTTAGATATTTATATATATATATATTATATATTTGTTAATAAATATTTTTTTATACTTAAAAATATTTTTTAAAAAATACTTTTATCTTTTCTAATGTTTTAGTTAAATAAAGTTAGATAATGTTTGTGATTAATAATAATTATATAAAAAATGTAATAAAAAAAAATTTCTAGACTCATCAGATTCTTAAACTGCGTTTTCAACGTGGTAAACTCGGCCCAACTTAACCAGCTTAAAAATCCAATTGTGTATTTTATATTTGACGTCACGCGCAATTAAACCGTCGTCGTTTCGACTCTTTCTCTCCCTGTCCGCAACTCTCGCTCTTCTCTTCTCGCCTTTTCATTTTCATTTGAAAATCGTATCACCAGCGAGGGAGAGAATCGGAAGGTCTCACCGGTAACCAGAACTCAGCAATGGAAAATCCGAGAGTTCAAGAGGTTAGTATATCATTCAAGCACTTTTTCGGATACGTATGAGTGTATGGTAGCATTGATGGTTTCATTTGCTTAAAGTAGGATCCCTCTTTTTTGTAGATACTGGAGAAGCAAGTGCTGACAGTGGCCAAGGCCGTGGAGGAAAAGATCGAGGATGAGATTGCGGCATTAGATCGGCTGGATATCGATGATTTGGAGGCCTTGAGGGAGAGGAGGTTGCTGCAAATGAAGAAGATGGCTGAGAAGCGGAGCCGTTGGATCAGCCTCGGTCATGGCGAATACTCCGAGATCTTCTCCGAGAAGGACTTCTTCTCTATCGTTAAGGCTAGCGACCGTGTCGTTTGCCATTTCTATCGCGAGAACTGGCCCTGCAAGGTACGCACGTACTGACATTTTAGATGTAAATCCGTCCTCCCTATGTCGAAGCTGAATTTGAATAGGTGAATTTTGGTTGCCCTAGAATAATGACTGCGGAACTTCCTTTGGCCTCTAGGTTACGTTTGGATGAGTGGCTTGATGAGCTTTGTGAAATTTGAACTCCGTTTAGTCTGTGCTCGTTGTGGCTAGTTTCTGAGGGTTGATTTCGGTGAACCAGATATCTGGAGTGGAAAATATTTGGTTGTGTTGGTGATTGGATGTGTAATTCCGGCTGGCCTTTGGTGAATTTAAGCTTGGTGGAGAATGGCGCCGGTTCAAAAACTCTTTGGAGTTATGAAAATCTATATTTTTGTTGTGTTAACTATGGATTGTTGTGGGTTTCGATGATGTTTAGTTAATAACCATCTTGGAGTTGGTGATAGAAATGAAGGTGACAACATGAAAATGTACTGTATTAGAGCTTGCTAGAGAAGTGATGCTGGTCTGAGAAATCCAAAATTCTTGAAGTTTTTTGTCCTTCAATTTAGTATGACGGGATAAGAAATTCTTTTGTTGGATTCATATTGGAATGTTATTTTTTTGTGGAGTAGAACATCCATTCGGTTCTTATTATTGGTGTAAAATTACTTTCATTGGTTCTTTTTTTAGGGGTGGGTGAGTGGGGGGTGGTGTAAATAGATATAAACAAATTTTCAGATCCCACATCTAGGAGTTGCCTCAGCTCTGCCTCTGAAGTAAGATTAATAAACAAATTTTCAGATTCTAGGAGTTGCCTCAGCTCTGCCTCTGAAGTAAGGTTAATATACTATGATTGCCTGTCAATGTCTTTCGGAGGCAACTCCAAATTTTGGTTATAGTTCTATAAGGTAGGACGGAGATGTCATTTTTAAATTGGTTTCTTTATTTTCTAAATTCTTTAATTATTATTTAATAAGAACCACAAGTACTTAGCTGATGAGAATTTCCTGGACTGTGAGATGGATCATTACCTCAGCCGGAATTATTTCTTGGTGCATGATCCATTATTCAGTATCTCAAAATATTTAAGTTGTTGACTAGACCCTTTTAAGACTAGGCAGCACATGGTAAAAGTTAAACTCCCAGGCGTAAGATTTTACCATAATAAGATGAGCCTTGTGCATATAGATTGTCTGTTAGTTGTAAAATCCCAAGAGTCTATCTTTTACCATAATAAGATTTTGCCTTCTGCATATAATTATCAGGTAGTTGGTAAATGTGCAAATGTCAAACTGCAGACGGCTTTAAGGTTTTAACACAAGATGTGTGGATGGTTTGGTTATTTTAGTTGTTCAATGTTTGTAGCACTTGCAATATTACTAGTGTAGTTCAATCCCAGATGTCAATGATCTTTTATGCGTGTGAAAAATCGAGCACTTGTGATCAATAATTTCTCATAGTCTTGAGTAATATTGCGTCCTCTAAAGTAGATTTAAGGTCCAGAAAAAACCAATGTTTACAGTTTCTGTATAGGTGATGGACAAGCACTTGAGTACATTGGCAAAGCAACATATAGAGACGCGTTTTGTGAAAATCCATGCCGAAAAAAGTCCATTCTTGGCTGAGAGGCTCAAGATTGTCGTTCTCCCCACCCTTGCCCTCATAAAGAATGCTAAAGTGGATGATTATGTGGTATGTTGGAGAAACACAATGTATTTTAATCTTGGGAATATTTTCTAATGCTTTTTCAGCAGTACACTTTGTACACAATCTCTATCCCAGAAAAGAAATCACTTTGAATTACCTTAATTGACTGATTCTGCTTCTTAGGTGGGATTTGATGAGCTTGGCGGGACGGACGAGTTCAGCACAGAGGACCTGGAGGAGAGGTTAGCGAAAGCTCAAGTAATCTTATCTGAGGGTGAATCGTCTCTAAATCCATCAAAGTCTTCTTCACAATCCAGGAGGAGTGTCAGGCAAAGCACTCAAGCAGACTCGGACTCAGACTAACAGAGAATTTTATGGATTCATCAATTATGCTGGGGTAAAAGTGCAGTTTTGTTGCTATCATCATCATCATCATATATATATATATGCCTGTTATAATTTGCCAAAATCATCTCTCGGATGTTCTAATGGTGGGGTATTTAGCATCTAGCTGTTCTATATATTTCTCGAGTGGAATATTATAGTTGAATCACTCATCAATGAAATTTGGAAGAACTTATTAATTCCTTCCATTTGGTCTTTGCTTCTAATTTCCAGATTAGGAATTTTCTCAGCCATGTATTTTGAACAGATGAACTTTGTTAGGAAATCTACATTTCTTTCAGATTCATATTTTTTAAAAAATTTTCAATATGTACGTATGTATGTATTTATTTGTTTTAGCACAAAAATAACCAAATACATATGTAAATATACGTACGTATAGTTGGACTACATCAACAAGAAGGAATCTCCACATAAACACTCTGCAAATCTAATAATAGAACTACAAAAAAATAAACAAGAAATTAACAAATCCCCAAAAATTCTGAACATCTACATCCTTGATCAACAGTTTACTCCTCAAAAGCCTACGACAACAAACAATATTATTTCTTTGACAACAATTAATTAATCCAGAAAATGAGAACGCTAATTATGATTAAACAACTTATTAATTCCTTCTAATTAAAATGATAATACTACATGCCGTACGAACGGTGCTTGTTCTCCTTGGCTTTGTATAGCACCCTCTTCCCGTAAGGATGACTGTGCAGAAATGGAGAATGAATTTGAATCAAACTCAGTAATCTTCGTAATACATCTCCCTGCACCACTTAATCTCGTTAATTTAGAAAAAGAAACCCTATAAAATAATACATATAATCATATATGTACGTAATTATATATATGGGTTTTAAATATCTCTTCTTTCTTCCCAAGTTAACCATGTTATTAAGTCAAAAATAAGATTGCAAATAAAGGGAGAAGCTTTTTTTATAGTGACAAAGGTTTTTAAACCGTTATACTTACTTTGATAGAATTGTAGGGAAATGTATGTATATGTCTGTCAAACACTATATATATATATGTTTGCTTTTATCTGTGTATGGATAGGAAAAGAAGAGATATATATATATATATATAAGATGTTGTCTATGTATACAGTACCTTACAAACGGTCAAGGCTGCTTGTATAACATAATTTCCATATGGATCTTGAAGGACTTTGATGAAATCAGAAGTTTCAAAAATATATACATATATATATATATATATATTTGTTTGCTTTTGTGTGTGTATGGATAGGAAATGAAGATATATGTATGTATATATATATAAGATGTATATATATGTATACAGGACCTTACAAACGGTCAAGGCTGCTTGTATAACTTAATTTCCATATGGATCTTGAAGGACTTTGATGAAATCAGAAGTTTCAAAAATATATACATATATATATATATATATATATTTGTTTGCTTTTGTGTGTGTATGGATAGGAAATGAAGATATATGTATGTATATATATATAAGATGTATATATATGTATACAGGACCTTACAAACGGTCAAGGCTGCTTGTATAACTTAATTTCCATATGGATCTTGAAGGACTTTGATGAAATCAGAAGTTTCAAAAATACATACATATATATATATATATTTGTTTGCTTTTGTGCGTGTATGGATAGGAAAAGAAGATATATACATATATATATATATATATATAAGATGTATATATATGTATACAGTACCTTACAAACGTTCAAGGCTGCTTGCATGACATAATTTCCATACGGATCTTGAAGGACTCTGATGAAATCAGAAGTTTCAAAAATCTCAGTCATAACCCTGCGGGAATTCTCGTCGCCAACGTCATTGGGATCGATACACTTCTCAACGACATTGCTGGCATACTTATTCATGCACAGACTCACGAAGTGTCCTCTGAGCTTCGCTATTATATTTGCATTTGCATATGGTATCCTCATTTTTACCACATACTGCACAACGTAGTTCCTATGCAAAAAAAACACGTAATCATTATTTGAAAAATTAAGACCAGTCCACATATGTATGTATGTATATATATATATATACATATATATAGTTTATAACAATATTTAGATTTAACTTGGGTTTTGGAGACTGGTTATATTTTTTAAACGAAGTAAAAGATTTATGGAATTTTTGAGACCCAAATGGTTCACCTGCAAACTGAAAGGAAGAATTTTAATTTTAGAGTAAGTATTCAAGAATTTATATGCATTTAAAATTTTTTTAATAAATTATTCTATTCGATAATTTGAATATCACGAAAAACCCACAAAAATTTGATAAAATTATTTGGTAAATATGTTAAAACCATATATATATATATAGATACATACCCAAAAGGATGATCAGATAAAGGCAAAGCATTAGCCATGATTACAGCAACAATCCTTTCCCTGATCTGAAGAGTGGTATAAGGCATACACTGTTGTAACAGACAGCACCCATTTTTATTGATTGCAAGATCAAGGCAATCTCCTGCTATTTCTTCTTGAATAGGCTGCAAGTACATATATATATATATATATATATATACATACAATTCAATATTTGAATCATCATTTACTCCAAAAAGAATATGAAAAAATAAACAAGTGAAGCATGTATTATATAGTTGGATAGAACAAAGTATATGTATAGTTTTAATGCATACAAATTTTATGTGATATGTGTATAATATATGTATCTAACTGATCTAGGTTTAAAGCATCACCTAATTATTAATCAATAATGATGTATAAGTTAAAACCAATACAAAACGTAACACTGTAAGAATATTATATACATGCATATATATATATATATATATATTATATATTACCTCAGTTTCCTCAGGTAAAAACTGTTCCATGCATTGTAGAATGACATGATAGGCATGCCCGCCATTCTCCTTGCTCAACTGAAGAGTAATAGGTTTCAGCACTGAAACAAGTAAGCGTTTCTGTTCTGGTTCCTCAAGATGCTTTATCATTTTTTGTACTGCCCTAGATCTACAAATTTTATAGATACATAAGAAAATTAAGCCTGTCCAAATTCAATAAAGTACATGCACATACATATAATGAGCTTATGATTCCTAATATGTATATTAAGCACAATACCCATGTAAAAATGATATATATACAACCCATGAACACATTCACATACGTACATATATGTAATTTATAGAAAATAATCAGTGCTCATTCAAGTAAAGATATAAACAGCCCATGTTCTTGAAGCTTTTATCTTGTAGCGAAGGAAAATAGAGTTTGTAAGTATATATGTATCTGTTGTCAAGAAAAACTATCAACGTGATCAAGATGTATATACAATTCATATACACATTCATATATGTCAAAAGAAAATCTACATCTCCTCCATGTTCTTGAAGACAGATTTCCTAAAGTTTTTGTCAGTAGAGCAATACACCTGGTAAAGATATATATGCAGTCCCATAGATACATTCATATACATACACAATATATATGTAATTTTAGAGCATTATGAAATCCGATAGATCAAGGAAAAATTATATATACCCATGTTCTTCGAAACAGATATCCAAAAGCTTTTGCCTGGTAGCAATGAAAGAAAGAATTTTGCTCATCTGTGTCTGATTACATGACTCAAATAGTCTTTGAATGGTATAGCTTCTAGACTGATTCGTCATCAACTCAGCCAGCTGATCTTTCACCTCCTCAATTATCATATCGACCTCTTCTTCTTTCATCACTTCCTGCAATCAAAACCCATATGTATAATACCTAAAACACAACCATGTCAATATATATATATATATATATAAATATATGAATTTTCAATGTTCAATCACCAAATTATTGGATACATATAAATACATCACATGTCCTCTAGTGATTGAATACTTATATTTTATTGGAAGTTCAAGACTCACCACCTTACGGCTAGGGTTAAAATTACACAACCCTTCATTTATCAATATATATATATATGCGCGCACGCACACACAAACATCACATCAAACCTACCAATTCACTATGTCGCGGATAATAGGGGATGCCAATCCTCGTTGCAGCCGCCATATTTCGGCTGCCAAGTCGATTTCGATAAGAATAACTTGAACCTATATTGCGTCTCATCAAGGGGGAAGATCCTACGCTACATGCATTTGTCAAGTTCTGCAAATAATTCTTCCGCAAATCATCTGTCAATGACGATTGTGGATAATTATGAGACAGATGAAGATTGGAGAAAGCTTCCAGAATCTGGTCAAGGTTAGCATCAGCGCCGTTAAAGCTTGAATTCACATGGTTGCGGCGAGCTATTTCGGCTAGAAAATCGAAGTGT